TTGCCCTGCCAGCTGGCAGCCTCTGTACTGGAGGGGTGGGGGTGGCGGGGCACAGCTGGCTAGGCAGGGACTCAGAGACTGTTCCCCCTGTGCCTAGGCCTGTTCTGCAACCGGACCTTTGACGACTATGCCTGCTGGCCAGATGGGACACCGGGCTCCTTTGTGAACGTCAGCTGCCCCTGGTACCTGCCCTGGGCCAGCAGTGGTGAGTCCTACCACCACACCTCATCCTTCCCCTTTATCCTAGAGGCTGGAGCTGGGAGCTGCCTCCTTTCATCTGAGACACAGCCCTCCCCACCCCAGAATGTCTTTAAGCATCCCAGTGGGTGGTCTGCCTGCCTTTACTGGGGGAAGGGCAGGTGGTGGGTGACATCCAGCTGGCCAGAGGTGCAGCCTGGGTCATCTGAGGCCTGTGCTGGCAGGTGTGTGTGTGCCAGGGGAGAGGGGTAATATGAGGGCTTGCTTAAGAGAGAAATGTAACTCTCCTATCCAGTAGTCAAGGAAAGGGGCCCTGTGGGGACAGATCTTTGGGGAGGGGGACACAGGGGTATCATTGCTCTGATGTATGTATATGAGTGTATTTATATGTATGTAGCTACTGTCTACCTGGTAGGGGCGCCTAGCCACACCCCGATTTTTCAAGGATTCACTGATCAAACCCAGATGGGAGCATCAATCAGGGCATTGGTGGGGTTGCCCCTGAGGCCTTCCCTAACTCACTCTGCCTACGGGGGAGACTCTGCATTGGGATGGTGTGACTGGGTAGGTGGGAGGATCAATGGAGTACAGAGACCTACAGAAGCTGCAGGGGGATCCCCCACTGGAGTGGTAGTTAATGTGCTCCTCCTCAGCACTCCTACCCATCTGTCCCAGGCTCCCATGCCGAACCCAGCCCCAGCCAGGCGCCATGGGGCCTAACAGGAGACAAGCACCCTCACCTTTAGGAGCTCACTATCTCAATACGGGGAGAAAACATACTCCCTTATGTAATAATAGCTAATATTTACTAGGCACCTCTTTTGTGCCAATTCCTGTCCTAAAAGCAGGACTAAACATCTAAAAACCAAAAAACTAGTTGCTATCGAGTCAACTCTGACTCATGACAATCTCATGTGTGTCAGAGTAGAACTGTGCTCCAAAGGGTTTTCAATGGCTGATTTTTCAGAATTAGATCCCTGGGCCTTTCTTCTGAGGTGCCTGTGGGTGGACTCAAACCGCCAACCTTTTGTGAGCAGCCAAGCACGTTAACCGTTTGTACTACCCAGGGATGCCATCTCGACAACTACCCTGTGGTTATGCCCATTGTACAGATGAGGAAACTGAGGCCCTGGAAGGTTTAAGTCACTTGCTCCAGGTGATGTGATAATGGCAGAGCCAAGATTAGAACCAGCCTGTGTTCTTAACCACTGTGCTTCGAAGGGGCCTGAGACCAAGCAGAAACCGGCCCAGAAGCAACTGTGAGGATGAAGTCGTACCATGCGGAGTCAGGGGTCTTCCTGGAGGAGGCAGACCTTTAGTGGAACATCAGGGCACCTGGCAGGGCCTGATATGAGCCTCACCTCAGCACAAGGGACTGAAGTCAGAAGAAGCCCAGGCAAGACTCCTAAGGGGACTCTCCCTCTCAGCTGCCCTCGCTGTACACCCGTCTCACACCTGAAGGTGCACAGGGAAAGCCCTGGCCTGGAAAGAGGCGGGCACCTTCGTAAATCACAGAGTCTATCAGTAGCCCTTCACACAGTACTTCTGTACCAGGGCCTGCTGTAAGCACTTTACGTATGGACACTTATCCTCACAACAGCCCTGTGAGGTAAGCACTCTTATTATCCTCCCATTGTCCAGAAGAGGAAACTGAGGCCCAGAGATGCTAAGTGACTTTTCCAAGCTCATACAGCTAGTAAGTGACAGACCCAGGAATCAATCCAGGAGTCTGGCTCAGAGTCGGTGTGTTTAATCCCTACACCAGGCTTCCTTGTGTGTGTGTGTGTGTGTGTGTACATCTGGGCATTGGAGACAGGTGAATGTCCTGCTGGCTAGGTAGGACAATAAGCTGCCTGCCCTCTCCCTAGATGGAAAAACATGAGCCCTGCAATCTGATGATTCTGCTTACAGACAACCTGACTGACTGTGTGAGTTTGGATAACTTCTCAGACCTCTCTGAGCCTCAGTTTGTTCACCTGGGAGATGGAATACAGAGCTGGGTAACAGGGGTGTTGGGTGGATTGTAGTTCCTCAAGAAATGGTAGCTGTGATTTTTTCTCACCATATCCCTCCTGAGTCCCCCCGACCCCAAACACACACTTTCTGTGGCTCCTGAAGGTTTGGGACCAGTGGTTGGCCAGCCTCTTCCAGACCTCTAGACCCCAGGGAGCCAGGCGCAGGACAGGGCCCATCACTCAGCGCTAAGCCGCCCCCAGCTCTGCCTGCGCTTGCGGCTCCATCCATCACCTTTAATTTTATTTGAGCAGGAAATAGGTCCTGGTGGTGCCCGTTTATGAGCGAACATGGTTTTATTGCTTTCTCCATGAAGATAACGGCTACTGCACAGGCCCCCTGCCAGCCTCTCCCCCCACCCCCTGCCCTCCCAGCTCACCAGGCTAATTTACTCTGTTTTTTGACACTCAGAATTACCAGCACTGCCTCCCTATCCCCTCTCTCTGAGGTAGGGACCCGCAGAGACGCCCGCCACGAGCTCCAGCAGCAGAACTGCTATCTCTGGCCTGTCTTGGGCACTCCCGTTGACAGAGGCTGGACCGGGGGCTTCCCTGACGCCCACCCAGGGCTTGTGGGACTAGGCGGGGGCAGTTCTGCAGTTTTCTTGATCTAGTTGAGGGAGTAGCCTGTGGAGAAACTTCACAGTGTATGTTGGGGAGGGGCAGAAAGAAGGGGGTTGTATCAGGTGGGGCCCTAGCAGAAAACATACTCAGCTGGGATTTTGAAGGGAAACTGATGCAGGGGCCACTTACAGAGACTGAGCAGGGTTAAGGGGCCAGAAATATAACGCACCCAGGGACTACAACAGTGGGAAGACTTACTATACCCAGACCTGAGAAGTGAGGGGCAGGAATGGGGTTACAGGGACCCCCATGGGGGCTGGAACCATGATGGAGAGGCCACCCAGCAAAACTGTGACCACACAGGGGCAAAGCCACAGCCAGAACCTCAGAACCAAGACAGGGAGGGAGCAGGGGAGAAATACCCCAACCTCTCTCTCCTCCCACCCTCCTGTCTCCTGTTGGTGCCTCCCGTTGGCCAAACCCAATAGAGGGCAGGGAGTCCAAATGATGTTGCCCACAGAGGTCAGCCTTCTGGGATGCAGAGCAAGGCAGAGGAGTAAGAGACCAGAGAAAGAATTAAATTCAAAGCATTTACTGGCCCCCATGCTGGGTTTGTGACAGGAGCTAGGGATGCCAAGATGATGTTAAGGGGGCTGTCCGTGTGTGTGTGGGTGTGGGTGTGGGTGTGGGTGTGGGTGTGGGTGTGGGTGTGTGGGTGTGTGGGTGTGGGTGTGTGTGGGTGTGTGTGTTTTGGGGAGGAGGTGGACCCCCCACTATAGTGATGTATGGGTCAGCAGCCCAGGCAGTCTTGAGAAATGGTAGGTCATGAAATGGCAAGTCCTGGTTCTGCTATCAACCAGCTATGGAACCTTGGGGAGCTCACTTCACCTCCCTGGGCCTCACTTTCCTCATCTGTAAAATGGGAACCATAATGACTTCCCAGTTCTGTGGTGGAGGGAGGACAGAGTCACCTCTTCTGCCTGGCGTGTGGCATCAGGAAGGTTTCCAGGGAGAGGGGACGTTGGACTGGGCCTGAAACGACAGACAGATGGAGAAGGGGGAAGGAGAGCCCTCCAGAAGGGACATCCAAGCAGCCTTGGAGATGGGGCCAGTCTCAAGCTTCAGGGCTACATAATATCCCAGGGCCTCCAGCCAGGCTCTTGAAGCCTGACTTCTCTATTTAGAATTTGAGGCTCAGGATTTTGTCAAGAGGGCTGGAGCAGGTGAGCCAAGGAAAGAAGATTTTTCAAAGAAAATGCCTAGTGTAAACAAGATTTCTGAGGAGGAGGTTTGAGTGGCTGCAGAGAGCCTGTTGACTGCCTGAGGGCCCTTCAACAGCCTGGTTTACCCACAAACAGCTGATGTGCTCATTACAAATCATTCCAGCCTCATTAGCTGCACCCCTTCCTGATCCATACCTGTTTGTTAGCTTAGTTCTAATTATATGAGAGTCATAAAATGCTTTTAAAATCACCTGTCATTCACAGTTCTTGGAAACTCTGACAGATGCCTCCTCTGAGTGATGTTGAGCTGGGAGCTTTTACCACAGGCCAGGGTTGCCAAGGGGAGATGGAGACCTGGAGGAGTTCTGGGCTGAGGTAATGTCATAAGCTCCATCTCCAGCTGCAGTGAAAAAGTGCCTCTTTGAGAAATCAGGGTGGAGGCAGCAGCAGGGACTCCACTGTGGCCACATATTGAAGGCTTACTATGCATCAGGCACCTCACACCACAGATCTGGGAAGTCATTATGGTTCCCATTTTACAGATGAGGAAACTGAGGCCCAGGGGAGGTGGAGTGAGCTGCCCAAGGTCCCACAGCTGGTGAGGGAAGAACCAGTGTTTAAACTTAAGTCTGTGTAGTCAGAACCAAAACTCCCTCTCCTGGGCCATGATGCTATACACTATCCCCCCGCTACTGCGAGCCCCCATCCCACCACTTTCTAACTGTGGGACCTGAGTCTCGGCTTTCCTGTAAAATGGGAGCACAGTAACCCTTGACGGCTGCCCTTGTTGCCAGGGTACAGGAGCTAATGGATTCATGAGCAGCTCTTCACAGCCCTCAGTGCCCACATGCACGTGGAAGGGCAGCTGTTAGCTTGATTACAGGCGCCTCAGCAGTTTCCGGGAGGGGAAGTGTTTAATTAGGGGTTTTATTTCCAGCACCAGGGTCTGACTTAATAAAATATCCTTGGGCCTCCTGGCATTTGGCCGCTTCCCTGTGTTGACAAGACCTAAGCCAAGCCCCCAGCTGTGATTTACTAGTTCCTTCCAGGCCAGATCACCACTTGTCTGTCAGTTTGTTATACTGTGGTGGCTTGTGTGTTGCTGTGATGCTGGAAGCTATGCCTCTCGTGTTTCAAATACCAGCAGGATCACCCATGGTGGACAGGTTTCAGTGGAGCTTCCACACTAAGACAGACTGGGAAGAGGG